TATATATATATATATATATATATATGAGTTTTTAAAAAATATGTGCTTGTATATATATTTTTTTAAATTGTAATTATATTATATGAGTAAACGATATTTCGAGAAGAAAATTTTAAGAGGGATAAATTTATTTTCTCTGCTTTGTTTAATTTCTTGAAATATGTATACATTTATTATAGTTTCCTGTAAGAAGGAAGGAAAGTTTATTTAGAAAATATTTGAAAATGTATTATAAATATTAGCTAATACCTATAGGTATGTTTATTTATCTTGTGATGATTACAGATAATGCAAGTGTAAGTAGAAATATGAATCAAATTTTATTGCATAAGTTTCAATGACATTAAACATATCCAAATAATACAAAAGTTTCTGAATAGACTTTTTTTTGTAGTATCAAAGAACCTGTTGACTCCTATTAGAATGACACACCATATTTTATTCAAAGCTGCAACAACACTTGATCTACTTGAAAAACTCCATAACCCATAAGTCACAGACAGAGCATGTGTATCTAATTCCTCTGAATCCAGCTCCTTTTGCCAATGCCATGAATTCCTCTTCACTTCGTTCCTTCCCTCCTGGGTTTGTAGTCATCATCAGCACATCAAATTGGGAAATGTTCTTTGCTGCAGATGTTGTCTTTGGTTCAAATGGATGAATTCCGTCCACCACAATCACCTTTCCATCACTAGGAATTGCATCATAGCAGTTCTTCAACACCTTAAAGCACATTTCATCACTCCAATCATGAAGCACACACTACAAAATTAATTCAACAAAGCTTATAGTTAAATTAATGGAAATAATTCAGATCCACCTATGCATGATGTAATTAAATGACAGTTTAGACATGCAAAACCCTTACACCTACCATCATAAAAATGTCATCTCCTTTTGGCACACTTTCAAACATATCCCCTTCCACATGCTCCACTCCTGCAATCAATTGATAATACATGTTTCAAACTTAAATTATTACATACATAACAAAAAATATATATAATTGTTGGCTAATGGTTTACAAATTTATAACTATATGTTATCAAACATCTACATTTAGAAACTTCATATATATCGTACCAGGGTAGGAAGAGGCTTGTTGTATGACATGAGGCAAGTCAAAGTTGATGCCCTTAATGTGAGGGTATTTTGAAGTTATTACGTTAAGAGATATTCCATGGCCACCTCCAACATCAACCAGCCTATTCATGTGCTCAAACCCTTTGTAGGATTCCACAATCTTATTCATTATGAAAGTTGCACGGTTGGTCATTGTTGCAGTAAAAAGATTATTGAAGCTTGGGTTCATATCAGAGTATTCAAACAAGTGTTTGCCATGGGCCCTGTTGAATGGAATACCTCCTTCCAGAATTGCATCTTTCAGTTGGTACCTGGAATCACGACCACAAAACATTTTGCTTTAATTTAAATCTGTTTAAATGTTCTATAAATGCATTCTGATTATAGAAGTACGTTTATAGAAAAGTTTATGTTCCAGTTCTAGTCAATGAGTGTAAGAAAAGAAAAACTGACCAGCTGCGAAGCGAGGCCTTGTCATGAGCCAGTGTCATGAAAGGGCCTAAAGAGCCAGCACCATTTATGGAAGCAAAGTGTTTGGCCACAGGGTTCATTCCATAGAGCCTCTTCAGTTGTGGAGGAGGACCATGTTCATCGGCAACCACAGTGCAGTCGATGACAGAGTGACATGCAAGTAGCCTTAGAATACGATCAAGCATTATGGCTGCTTCTGAATTCTTGCATGGAAGCTGTTCTGCAATGTCTT